ACACACACAATGAAGAAGAAAAATTTGCACACACACACACAATGAAGAAGAAAAAAAATCAACCTAACATCAATTAAAAGTGCATAAATTATTATTTTTTTTTTAACTTAATATAAAAATAATGACAACAAGAAAATCAGCAGACAATTGCTAATAACTCCTGACGAGTGGACTGAATGATTACAAAAAGGCTTGTCTATGAAACTTTGGAGTCCAGGTGTTGAATATAACAGCAATCAACTAAGTGACAAATTTTATATTAATCATATATATATATAGTCATTCATATACAAGCCTGTTTTGCTGTATCACAGCTCATCAGTGTGGCTAGACACCCGATTGCTTCAAGCTGGGATCGAAACCGACCAATTTGGCAGCAGTCAGAAGCTATCATGCACAGCAGAGAAAGGGAAATTTTAACGTTATATACAGATGTATACAAACATCAGCAGCCAGAGGGCTCAATTCATTAATGAAGAGCAAAGCATTAATACCAGCAGCCAATATGTCTGTGTTATTTTCATTTTTGCTTAATTTAGATGATAATTTATCTATCGCAACCTGTACATGGCAGCAAAAATTCATTTAAACAAGGCCTGTCAGTTTATTTTAAAAAATTTTTTTTTTATTGTACTTTTCCATTTTTCAATCAAGATGTACATCAGGATCAAAATTGTGGATAACCTGTCTGAAGTGTATGTTTTATTTGGTTCTTGTTGGAATACTTTGTCTCCTCAGTTATTATCAAGTCTGGTTAGGCAAGAATTTGTTGCTTACATTCTGGCAGACTTTTGCAGATTTTGTTTTTTATTATGAGAATTTTAGTTAAGCCAAATGTTCATTCATGTATCACAAAAGTGACATGCAAAACAGTTATATGGATCATGACGACACAGGAAAAAAAAAAACTATCATATGCATGATTATTATTTTGTATGCATATTAAACATAACTTAAAATACCATCTTTTATGTTGAAAGATATCTAATGTGGAATGCTGCTAGTATTTTCAGTCTCTCTTTGCAGTGAGTGTTGGATAGTTATTTTGTATTATCTACTAATAGTTGTATTGAACAAAGCTTGAACTTTGAACAGCTTGTCCACAATTTTGCTTCTGATAAAAATTTATCAATCCACCCACGGGGATCGAATGTGACACAAGGCCTTTTTAATGTGGGTATCTCTGAGCCCAGAGGCCCAGCCAAAAAATAAATAACCATCCAAACCTCACGAGGCGGGCTAGTTCAAATCAACCTTCCCCAACTAAACCCTAACCTTCGGCGGAGCTTCATCCGGTTCCTCTCTCTGCAAGCAGAGAGTTCGACAGACACCGACCCAGCAGCTCACAAAGCGCAGATACTACACTTTGATCCTAAAAAAAAAAATATGGAAAAAAAAATACAATAACAAAATTAAACAGACTGTGTTGGTTAAATTTTAACAGAACTTGCTTGGATTAATTCTTCCTTCTTGGATATATATATATATATATATATATATATATATATATATATATATATATATATATATATATATATATATGGATGCAGGGGTGGTGTAATGGATAGTGGCTCAGAAAGAGAAATTGGAGAGCTGAGTTCAAATTCCAGTCAAGTTCATTATATTCACTTACATGTAAATACCCTATCTCTTCTCCCTGCCAGTTCTAGAGTTAAATAGCGGGGCTGACTGGACTGCAACCAGTCTAAGAGAAAGACTATTTAAAATGAGTTGGGTATGGAATCAGCAACTCTATCCTGTAAAAAACAACTTAGAACCCCAGTAGTAATGCCTAGTGTGCTGACAGCTATGCTCTCCCACTAACCCTCCTCAGGGTGTCTATAGGATGAGACATACTAGTAGTTGTTTGTGTAATATATATGTAAAATAGCAAAAAAAAGTTTTACTTTTACAGTATGCTGTATTTATGGGTTAAAAACACTCAATATCAGAGATAGTGTATGTAAATATCAAAGTGGACATTGAAGTCAACACCCAGCAGCTAAATGTATGTTTCATGCTAAATGCGATCATCAGGCCATCTGACTTCAATATATATATATATATATATATACACATACACATACATGTCTCCGTCTATCTCATGAAAACCATTTCTCTCCCTCTCTCTCTCTCTCTTTTACTTCTGAATACACTCTTTATCTACATACACTTGTAAAATTTCAGAATAAACTATAAATATATTTATAAAAAAAAAAAAGAAAATCTATCTTAGCAAATACATTTCATCCTCTGCAGGACATTATCAATTCAAAATCACATACACATAGTCTTCTGAAATGTGTGTGTGTGTATGTATATATATATATATATATATATATATATACACACACTTTGCATCTTTGGCTCCATTGTAAATTGTCTGTCTCTCATTGAACCTACATTTAAATCACTTTCTCTCTCTCTCTCTCTTTTCATTCTTTGATAGAATTTACTTTTTCCTGTTACATTCAACCTTATTTCCATTTTTTTTTTTTTTTTTTTTTTTTATCCATCATCCTTTTCATGTCTTCCTTGTTCACATTTCTTTCCTTTCATTTCTCCCCCACCCCACACAGACAGACACTTTGTCTTTGCTTCTCTTCTTCAGCCTTTCTTTCACTTCATTTTTGTTTTACTTACATTACCAGATTATTTACACCAGCCATCTCTTCCATATTATAATCTATTTACATATGTCTGTAAGTGTTTTGTACTGAAGACTTTTTAATAACCATTTTATTATCACCATCTATAAACACATTAAGAGAGAATTACTTTTTATCTCCCGTTATCAATAAACGACTGAAAGCAAAATAGATTTAAAAGAAATATTCTATGAAAGAACAAGAGAAAAATGTTCACTTTTTTGAATAAAAAGAAAAATATTCGTTGTAAATATCATATTAATAAAACAATATTTTACATTTAGTTATTCTTTTTAGGTATGGTTATATATGCATCAAAATGGCATAATTTATTAAGAGCTATAAGGGACAGGAAATTGTGGAGAGCCATGATTGCCTATGTCCTGAAGGGACATGGCACATAGAAGTATCTGTGCATAGCCTAATGGATATTGACATTGAAAAGGGAAATTTGTGACCTGTTCAAATTCTCACTTCATCTTTTACATTTGCTTTCAGACAAATGCCCTTGGGAAAGGCATGAAACTCTTCTTAGCTGTAGTTTAATTAGCAAGGCAAACAGGGCGCTCAAGCCTTGAGTGGCAACCAGTCTAGGAGAAAGACTAGTGTGAATTCAAAACTGTGGAGAAGACAACAGGAATCCACTCTGCTATCTTTCCCAATAATTCATGGCAACTGACAGATAATAAAAGAAAAGGAATATGTAGAGAATGCAATGAGGAAACTACTTCACTATTTTTCCTAATAATACATGGTAATTCCCAGATAATAAAGAACAACCCTGAATGGTCATAGTAATTTAAACAAAGAAAAAAAAAAACTAATAAACAAAAATAAGTTTATTTTACAAAGCTCTGCTTAATTTGACACAGGGTCCATTGAGAGATGGTTAGAGTATTTACTAAACTTAGCTCAGGTTAGTTTGACACCAAGCCACAAGTTTTGCCCCTCCTATGAGGATCAGTGTCACTCCTCAGTAGTAAAGGTCTGCCTGACCAATTTACTACTCATTTACTCATAGAGAGATAGTTGGAGTATTTACTAAACTTAGCTCAGCCTTGTTTGACACAAGGCTACAAGTTTGGACATCCTATGAGAATCAATCTCACTGCTCATTAGTAATGGTCTGTGCTTTGGCAATTTGCTACTCATGATGTCCTTTTTTTGAAACTTGTATTAGTACTCATGGTGGAGTAATGGATAGCAGCTCGAACTGAGGGATCGAAGAGCCGAGTTCAAATTCCAGTCAAATCCATTACATTAACTTATGTGCTAATATCCTTGAGAAAGGTATGAATCCTCTTCTCCCTCAGCTATGGGTAAATAGCAGGACAGATTGGGTTCTATAGCCTTGGTTGGCAACTGATCTACTGCAGAAAGAAATGGCAACCTACTGCGGGGGGGGGAAAAAGTCTGCCTTGTCAGTCATGTATTGAAAGATACATGATCGCGTAAGTGTGCATCATGTATGGTACATAACTGACTGACTCATTTATCAATGATGTAAGCCTAGTTTCAAACTTGATGTTTGTAAATAAAAACAAAGTACAGATAACTAAAAAAAACTCAGCAATCAAATTTGACATTGTGCTTATAAAGGCCCCACTTCTAAATTGATAAAAAAATAAATATTTTTTTTATTTTGACAAATCTCATGGGTAGAGAAAAGTTTAAATGACTGCTAATCTGCAAAATTTGTTAAAAAGAAAATTCTTCCAGTTTTTTTTGTTTGTTTTTTTTTTTTACAAGTGGACCAGTTAATTGAAATAGTTCTCTCTTATATTTTTCTTATCATCATCATCTATCACTAGTATAAACTGTTGTCCCCACCACCACCACTATAGTGTTTCTCTTTAAACTGCCTGCTCATTTCAATTGATCTTTAACTTTTAATTGTGTGTTTTTATTCTCTTATTGAACTTGTTTTATTAGTATCAGTTTGTCTTTATCTGTATATTATGTTGAATGAATATTTCTGGACTCCTACAAATGAGATTTCTGATTTGCTGATGGTAAGAGCTCTCTGCTTCAAATCCAGTTGTTCACTAAGTGATTGAGCTTGATTAGCAAACAAGAATAAACTTCTGATCTTGACCTGATTCAATCAGTTACTGCATCTTTCAAAAGTGTTGCCACTTGTTACTCTCTCACTCAATTTCTTTCTTCTCCTTTGTTTTCATATTGTTCAAGGAAATAATTCAATTAAGGGAATCAATCAAAATCAGTTTGCTTGATGGATTTGAACCCTGCTTTTCTCTTTCAATGGTTTTCTTTTTTAAGTTTTTGTTTATTCTATATTTATTAATTTACTCTGTAGCCTTTTTCGTTTCTGTTTTTCTTTTGTTTCCTTAGACACTCTCTTTTACCTTTTTCTTTTCTTACATTCTTGACACTTTTTCTTTTTCATTTTCTTCTTCACTCTTTCTCTCTCTTTTTTGTTTGGTCCGCTTTCTCTCTCTCTGCTTTTTCCATATAGTCTTCTCTCTCTTTCCTTTTGGTCCTCTATCAAACTCTCCCTCTCCAGTTTAGTTTGGTCCTCTCTCTCTCTTTCTCTCTATTTGGTCTTCTTTCTTGCTCTCACTCTCTCTTGTTATGTTTGGTCTTCTCTCTTTCTCTCTCTGTTTTGTTCTGTAGGGTCTTCTCTCTCTCTCTCTCTCTCTCTCCCATTCCATTTAGTCATCTCTCTCTCTCTCTCTCTCGTTCTGTTTCTTTTTGTCTCTTTTGTTCTTTTTGGTTTTCTCTTTCTCTCTCTTTTGGTTTTCTCTTTCTCTCTCTTTTGGTTTTCTCTTTCTCTCTCTTTTGGTTTTCTCTCTCTCTCTCTCTTTTGGTTTTTTCTCTCTCTCTTTTGGTTTTCTTCTCTCTCTCTTTTTTTTTTCTCTCTCTCTCTTTTGGTTTTCTCTCTCTCTCTCTTTTTTGGTTTTCTCTCTCTCTCTCTTTTGGTTTTTTCTCTCTCTCTCTCTTTTGGTTTTTCCTCTCTCTCTCTCTCTTTTTTGTTTTTTCTCTCTCTCTCTCTTTTGTTTTTTCTCTCTCACTTTTGTTTTTTCTCTCTCTCTTGGTTTTTTCTCTCTCTCTCTTTTTTTTCTCTCTCTCTTTTTTTTTTTTCTCTCTCTCTCTTTTGGTTTTTTCTCTCTCTCTTTTGGTTTTTTCTCTCTCTTTGGTTTTTCTCTCTCTCTCTTTTGGTTTTTTTGGTCTTTTTCTCTCTTGGTTTTTTCTTTCTCTTTTTGGTTTTTCTCTCTCTCTTTTTGTTTTTTCTCTCTCTCTCTTTTGGTTTTTCTCTCTCTCTTTTTGGTTTTTCTCTCTCTCTTTTTCTCTCTCTTTGTTTTTTTTCTCTCTCCATTTGGTTTCTCTTTCTCTCTCTCTCTCTTTTTGTTTTTTTTGGTTTTCTCTTTCTTTTCTTTTTCTCTCTTTTCCATTTGGTTTTCTTTCTCTCTCTCTCTTTTTGTTCCATTTGGTTTTCTCTTTCTCTCTCTCTCTCTTTTGTTCCATTTGGTTTTCTCTTTCTCTCTCTCTCTCTTTTGTTCCATTTGGTTTTCTCTTTCTCTCTCTCTCTCTTTTGTTCTATTTGGTTTTCTCTTTCTCTCTCTCTCTTTTGTTCTCTATTTGGTTTTCTCTTTCTCTCTCTCTCTTTTGTTCTCTATTTGGTTTTCTCTTTCTCTCTCTCTCTTTTGTTCTCTATTTGATTTTCTTTCTTCCTCTCTCTTTCTCACTCTGTTTTCTTCTGTAAGGTCTTCTCTCTCTCTCTCTCTCTCTCCCATTCCATTTAGTCATATCTCTCTCTCTCTTTCTCTCTCGTTCTGTTTCTTTTTGTCTTTTGTTCTTTTTGGTTTTCTCCCTTTGTTCTGTTTGGTTTTCTCTTTCTCTCTCTCTCTCTCTCTTTTTCTTTCTCTCTCTTTTGGTTTTCTCTTTCTCTCTCTTTTGGTTTTCTCTTTCTCTCTCTTTTGTTCCTTTTGGTTTTTTTTCTCCCTCTCTCTCATGGTCCATTTGAATTTCTTTTTTTCATGCTCTCCCTCTCTCGGTCTTCTCTCTCTCACTCTCTCGGTCTTCTCTCTCGTACATTTTGGTTTTGGGGCTATCCTCTCTCTCTCCCTCTCTTTGTTTTCTAGGGTTCCCCCCCTCCCTCTCTTTGTTTTCTAGGGTCCCCCCCTCTCTCTCTTTGTTTTCTAGGGTCCCCCTCTCTCTTTGTTTCCTAGGGTTTCCCTTCACTCTCTTTGGTTTCTTGCGTTCCCCTCTAATTCTTTGCTTTCTTGAGTTTCCTTCTCTCTCTCTCTCTCTCACTCACTCTCTTTGGTTTCTTGGGTTTCCTGTCTCACTCTCTTTGCTTTCTTGGGTTCCCGTCTCACACTCTTTGCTTTCTTGCCATCCCCCCTCTCTCTCTCTCTTTGGTTTCTTGGCATCTCTCTCTCTCTCTCTCTCCCTGTAGTTTTTCTCTCCTCTCTCTCTCTCTCTCTCTCCCTGTTGTTTTTCTCTCTCTCTCTCTCTCTCCTGTAGTTTTCTCTCCTCTCTCTCTCTCCCCTGTAGTTTTTTCTCTCTCTCTCTCTCTCTCCCCTGTAGTTTTTCTCTCTCTCTCTCCCTCTCCTGTAGTTTTTCTCTCCTCTCTCTCTCTCTCCCTGTAGTTTTTCTCTCCTCTCTCTCTCTCTCCCTGTAGTTTTTCTCTCTCTCTCTCTCTCCCTGTAGTTTTCTCTCCTCTCTCTCTCTCTCCTGTAGTTTTTCTCTCTCTCTCTCTCTCTCCCTGTAGTTTTTCTCTCTCTCTCTCTCTGTGTAGTTTTCTCTCTCTCTCTCTCTCCCTGTAGTTTTTTTTTCTCTCCTCTCTCTCTCTCCCTGTAGTTTTCTCTCTCTCTCTCTCTCCTGTAGTTTTTCTCTCCTCTCTCTCTCTCCCCAATTTTTTCTCTCTCTCTCTCTCTCCCTGTAGTTTTTCTCTCCTCTCTCTCTCTCTGTAGTTTTCTCTCTCTCTCTCTCTCTGTAGTTTTTCTCTCCTCTCTCTCTCTCTCCCTAGTTTTTCTCTCCTCTCTCTCTCTCTCTCCTGTAGTTTTCTCTCCTCCTCTCTCTGTTTTTTTCTCTCTCTCTCTCTCTCCCCTGTAGTTTTTCTCTCTCTCTCTCTCTCCCTCTCCTGTAGTTTTCTCTCCTCTCTCTCTCTCTCTCTGTAGTTTTTCTCTCCTCTCTCTCTCCCTGTAGTTTTTCTCTCCTCTCTCTCTCCCTGTAGTTTTCTCTCTCTCTCTCTCTCCCTGTAGTTTTCTCTCCTCTCTCTCTCCCTGTAATTTTTCTCTCTCTCTCTCTCCCTGTAGTTTTTTCTCTCTCTCTCTCCCCTGTAGTTTTCTCTCCTCTCTCTCTCCCTGTAGTTTTTCTCTCCTCTCTCTCTCTCCCTGTAGTTTTTCTCTCCTCTCTCTCTCCCTGTAGTTTTTCTCTCCTCTCTCTCTCTCTCCCTGTAGTTTTTCTCTCCTCTCTCTCTCCCTCCCTGTAGTTTTTCTCTCCTCTCTCTCTCCCTCCCTGTAGTTTTTCTCTCCTCTCTCTCTCCCTCCCTGTAGTTTTCTCTCCTCTCTCTCTCTCCCTGTAGTTTTTTCTCCTCTCTCTCCCCCTGTAATTTTCTCTCTCTCTCTCTCTCCCCTGTAGTTTTTCTCTCTCTCTCTCTCTCTCCCTGTAGTTTTTCTCCTCTCTCTCTCTCCCCTGTAGTTTTTCTCTCTCTCTCTCTCCCTGTAGTTTTTCTCCTCTCTCTCTCCCTCCCTGTAGTTTTTCTCTTCAGTCTCTCTCTCTTTCAGTCTTCTCTCTCTCTCTCTCTTGTTCTTTTTTCGTCCTTTTTTTTATTTCGTTCATCTCTTTTTTTATTCCTCTTATTTCTTTCCTCTCTCTGTCTTTTGCTTTTTTTCTGTTTATCTTTCTCCCTTTTTTATTTTATTTTCTACTTTCTCTCTTTTTTTTCTCTTTTACCTTTCATCTTACAGTGATATTTATCATCATTCTTTTTTTTGCTTCCTCCTTTTCATTTTTTTACTGTTATAAATTTTTTAAAACTCCCATACATTGCTTATTTTGTTTCTGTTTTTCTTTTTCAGCCATCTTATTTTATGATTCACTCTTTTTTCCCCCCTCCTGTTCATTCTCCTTTTCTATTTGAAGATTTTACTCATTTTGTAAAATGTTCATTTTTTTTTTTCAATTCTTAGCCTTCCTCCTTCATTTTATTAAATAAAATTCTCCATTTTGTGGCCTTGAAATTACATTATCAATTTAATAATAATATTAATAATAATTCCCACAATCAAAAATAAATTTTAAATCAATTCATATTTTTGTTTTTTTATTATTAATCTCTTCCTCAGATTTTACAAAAAAATGTCTTAATTTATATTTTTTATGTATATTTTCCCTCAAAATATGCAAATAAAGATTAAATTTTCTGTGAAAATCTCCCATGATGGACATTTCCTTAATTTAGGAAAATTTTCAAGAAAAGATGTTTGAATAACTTCTAGCTAGATGTTTTATTTATAATTTCATTAAAAGAAAAATCTGAATTAAATTTTTTAATCCTTATCTTTGTAACATTTGAAGTTCATCTAAAATTCTTTAAATATTCTTTTTCCTATTAATATGCCACCTTATTTTTGTCTTATTAATATTCTTAAATCCTACATGAACACTAGCATCAAAAGAACCGAGAATTCAAATTATATTTAGTGGATGAATTTGGTATGAATCTGTAGAAAAGTTTTAATAAAAACTACAATAAATTGGTTATTAATTCTTCATGTTAGCACAATCATCGATAGCTTCTGAATGGTTCCATCTACCCAATTTTACTCACAAGACTTGGTTTTAAGGAACTTTCCAAATGTGCTACATGCTGGATAGCCTCTTCCAGTTGATTACATCAAGAAGTCATCTTGATTAACAAATCAACCACAGTAAGATTTGAATCTGTGTTTCATGGTTAAAAAACAAATGCTCTAACCACTCAGCCATGCACCATTAAACAAATCTAATAATAGAAAACAATGATCCTTCTTTGAACATTGTGGACTGGTGCTACAGAATCATAATCAAATAACTGTACCAAATAAACCATATTACTTGAAGACTATCAACTGCAGAAACAACTAAAATGGATAGCAAATGTAACTCGGAGAAAAAAAAATGACATAATTATAATAATGATGTTTCAAAACTACTTCAAATAAATGTTAGAAATGAAACTCCCATCAGTACTAGAAAGAGTGATAACAGCTACTGGACTTGAGAAATGCCTTCCTTCTTCTGTCTTTCCTTATATACCAGGGATAGAGTGTATGTAAAACCAAGGAGGAGTGTAAACTGGGTAATATATATTCACGTATACACACAATTAGTAAAATTATGAATACACTGCTTCTTCCACCCCAGCTATGGGTTAATTAGTAAAACTTGTAACATTAAATCATTATCACAAAAAAAAATGAAATTCTTACAATCTAGAAATATTTTTTTCCCTTTAAATAACCTGCAAATGGTTGACAAGGCGTAGAAAATTAATCAGTTAAAAACAGGAAGAAAAACACTTCAAATAGAACGTGCATATATATATATATATATATATATATATATATATATATATATAATATGAACCATTACTAAGGATACTGTTAAAATTGTTGCTTCTTTGTAGAGCTACAGAAATTACCTGACTACACCTGCTTTGCTTTAACTTTACAAGACCAAAAATGGAATACCACTACCATATCTGGGTTGGAGTTGCCCACTTCTCACTTTCCAGCCTTGATATTGTTCAAGAGCATTTATGTGGCCTTGTGAGAAATGAAATATTTTCCACTCTACAACCCTTTTCCCAATAAACAAAATGTCACAAGCATCTTGTTACTCTATCACTATTCCCATGACAAATGTTCTGATGAATTACATTCCTTGGTTTCATCAGTTCAAATCTTGTGTGTGTGTATATATATATATATATATATATATATATATATATATATATATATATATATACAGATCACTTTAAGGTTCCATTGATCCGAGTCCTTTAAAAGGGCTCTGGTGAAATAAATTATTATAATGGAACCTTAAAGTGGTCTGTTTTTTCTTTAAAATATTACCTCTGGATTTACATTGAGCTCTCAGGATTTCATCGTCCTTGGGATTACCCATAATTACCATTTTATATATATTTTATATATATATATATATATATATATATATATATATATATATATAATAAGAAGTGAGATCACATTGTGTGACATGTACTTTTGTCTGTTTTGACAGGGAGGTATTTTTTGTTTGTTTTTCCTTTCATGAGAAAGAGATTTTGACATAGATCCATGAACAGTGTTGTTGCTATTGAAAATTAATTAAATACAAAGCAAAGTTATAAGAAAAATATCTGAGAAAGACAAAAGAACATATAAATTGTAATTCATCCACAGAAATAAGTTCTACCACAGCTTCAATCTAATGAATGCCAAACTTATTAAAACATAAAGCAACTTATATGAAAAGTTCTTGAGAGTGCCACCATTGAATATTACTAAAATGTAAATGTGTACCCTGGATATTTTCAAATATCTCCTTTACTAAAAGATACACTCTTTCCCCAAGTTAAAATATATAACCATAGAAATATCACAAAGTTAAAAGAAAATGGTTAAATTGAAACGTATTTATTTAAAATAAATACATACATAACTTAATTTCTCAAGCTAAAATGAAATAATAAATAAGATACATTATAAAACAAATTGAAAAACAATAACAACATTTACACATTTGTTTATTAGGCATTAAATTACATTACTTAATATCCGCTATAGTTTACCTTAACTTTCACATTTAACCTGAAGAATATTTGAGAATTCTTAAATTTAAAAAACTTAATGATATTTTCCTTCTGTTTTTAAATACTTGGTGCAAATAAAATCTTTACATTTGCCTTAGTAAAGTCCATCAGAGGATAGAACATGTTAGTAAAGGATAATTTTCCTTTTGTCTTTAATCATAAACTAATATTATAAGACATTTCTCAGCCTCTAATTTATTGGTTAAAGTGCTCAGTATCAGAGATAGAGCATATGTAAATATAAGATGGCCTGATGATTGTGTTTAGCATGAAACAGATTGCCACACTGGGTGTTGACTTCAATGTCCACTTATATAAACAAACTTGTTTAAGGAAGTTAGCATTGATCAAAAGCTCAATACTTGAAATGTAAAAGTAAATCTTAACAAAATATACAAAAATGAAAACATGGAAGAAACTCCTGCATATATAACAAAGTATTTATGCATTAATAGACACATTTATAGGCAAACTTAAGCACCCTCTAGGTGTGTGCCTATTCGTGCATTTGCAGGTATGCACGTACACATGTACCGGGGTAGCAAACAATGAAGAAAACACCCCATCATGAGTACAGTTTATGTGGGAAGAAAATTGCCAAACACGAAACAGGAAATGTATATTCAACTTGGAAATTAACAGTTAATTATCTCTTAAGAGCATTAATATATGTTGCTAATTAATTCTAAACTTAGAAATCACTTATAATAAGAATAAAATTAATGATTTAAAGAGAAAATACATTCTTTTAATATTGTTTTATATTTATGTGGCACTGATCCATACTTTTACTAATCAAGTTTCCTTCTGCTGGGTAAGTAACATACAAATTGTTGCACACACACATATATATATATATATATATATATATATATATATATATATATATATATATAAATGGTCTGTTGTTGCATTATCTGAATTATTATATATTTGTAATTTGATTGGCCATAACATCTTGTGTAAAAATTTTTTCCTCCATGAGGAGTAGTGGTTGCTTTTGAACTCTTTGAAAACTCTTTATTTTACTTGAAACAGCATCACTTGATAAGACACCAGAAGTGTTGAAACAAAATGGCTATTTTTGTAGTGATGTTATAACATATGTTATAATTTTTAAATAATAAATATATATATATATATATATATATATATATATATATATATATATATATATATATATATTAAAAAAAAAGAGGGGTGCATAAACGTTTTTTCTTTCTAATGTGGATTTATTGAGAAAAATATTAAACAGAATGTTTTACATAATTTCAGAATATTTTCTGGTTGAACATGAAGTCTTCATTAAAGTATTTTTAATAATATGTAAAAATAATTAATTTTTCTTCATGTTCAATATGGAATATTCCAGACCAGAAATTCTGTTTCGTGAAATTATGCAAAACAAAGTTTTCTTTTTTAGAATGAAACATTACAACCCAAAACGTTTATGCACCCCTCTTCTTTTTTTTATACATTTTTCTCGTTGGAACCACTACAACATATTTCTTTTATATATATATATATATATAGAGAGAGAGAGAGAGGAGGTTATAGTTGTTCCAACGAGAGAAAAGTGGTGTATATTTTAAAAGGAAGATAAACTGCAAACAGTTTTGATTGAAATGTGGATTTTATATAAATATATTTTTGCTTGAGGATGAAATGGAACTAATGTCTTTAATTTAATTACAAAATTAAATTCTGAGCTTTTAGCTCCCATTTTTGAAACCTGGTTAGAACTGTGTAGCAGAAAAAAAACATTTTAAATCAATTAATTTATAATAATGCTCTGTAAATTTACATTGAGCACTATTTTGTAAAAATAAAAATATCTATAAGAACACCGGATTATATATCTTACTGTTCTTTCTTTTTATTTATATTTATTTATTTATATATATATATATATATATATATATATATATATATATATATATATATATATGTGTGTGTGTGTGTATGCTCTTATCACCAGTCCAAGAAAGACTTTTGAATCACAAAAAAAATTCATTTTTATAATATGTGGAAATACCTACTCTTTGGGTGTCCTGGGTAAGATGATAAACTACATCCAACTTACTGTTGGAT